ACTCGAAAGTTGTCCAGTGCCGAGGTTCAGCGATAGTTTACAAACGTGCGCCGGGGACGGTGACATCACTGTGACCAGCTACACCAGAACGGACATATCTCGCATCTAACTCAACCACATGCAACAAATTTGATAACCAAGTGTTCATTATGGCCCGTTCTTCCTCGACGAACAAGTACATAAGTGACAATTTAGTCAAAGACGAGAAAACTGCACAAGAAATTTGCCTTTTTTACACGTATCGGCAATGCAAGCTGCCATGCGACTTCCCTTTCTGACGTCACAAGGGGAATTTCTGCATGGAAATGAATAGCTAATGAGGAGCCTCGTTTTAAAATACAAAAAATAAAGTTGCTGTAGACTGAGTTCAAAACGCAATTTTTCACTTAAAAAAAAATAATTTATGCTTAGAAACATAAAAATTAATAATATTTATGTATTAATTGATAATTTTAGGCGTGAAAATAGCAGCCATTTCACAGGCACTTTAAAAATAATATTAAAGTTACTGGTTAAGTGCACATACCAAAACAATCATGGGCTACTCTTTTTATTTTTTGTGTATTTTGCTACTGTACAGCACCCTCTATCAACTACTGTTAAAGGGGTTAATTATTCATTGGGTTATATTTTTACTTATTTCGCTGACTGGAAAATTAAAACCCAGTGAATATGTAAAATTGAGCATAGAACACATTACCTAAATGATAAAACCATGAATTTAAAACCCATTGAATATGCCTGAAATGGTAAATCAGCGAAATTTAAACACAGTGAATATTAGTCATTTTACAGTAAATTGAGTAAACTGCAAAATTTATGTACCATCATTTGACTTTTTGTGACATATGATCATAGTATGCTATCACATATGATCATAGTATGCTAAAATCAGATACCATAGAATGCAAAAATCACATTCTGTAGCTTATCACATTGTGCCTGGTCGTAATTTTAGAATCAGGAGATATCCGCATTTTACACAATAGACAGGTGCCCTCTATGGCAGCTGCCGTTAATTAAGAAAATATCTTTACTTATGGAAATAAAGTATATTTGATAATTAATTTGATTATTGTTGCTATAGCAACTAACTAGGTTGAAAAATGGAATATATTGTTACAGAACTCATGAATCAGAATGAGGTCACCCCTAGGCACATAGCACGCACAGCAAATATTAATGCGATCTATAAAATAAAAGTTTTCAAGACGATAACACACAAAAATATTTATCCACAAGCCATGCATGGCACAGTCCCCATTAGTTATCAAATTTAAGATATATAGTTTGTTTATAGTAATATAGCTGGAATATAAACATGTCAGGAATATGATTTGTTAACATTAAAATGATTGACAT